AGTGTAGGATTCGCAAATGAAATGACAGTTCTCATATTTTTATTTTTGTCACATATTTATTTTAGACAAGATCTTGAATGCATGTCAGGGTCCACTGACACATCCCTAAATCAGTTTTGTCAAGTTGTCTGTCACTATAAGGCAGCAAATATTAGATAAGACTGATGGCAGTATCTTGATATATTGTAATCAATTAAGACAGCAGAACATCCACCACCATCTCAGCCCGAAAGCAGTTCTAATTTAGACATTCAAAGTTCATTGGCTTCTATTGCTTCACCCTTCTGAATTGTAATTTTGTTTGTTCTTATCTTGACATAAATTTGCCTTGTTTAAAATGAATTGTTTCATTACATGATGATATTGATTACCACAGTTGTTAAAAAGACTAATTGATTTGTTTCTGCAGTGAACTTCAGGAGAAGAGTGGAAGAAAGAAAAGAAGCTATAGCAACAGTACTGCAGAAGAAGAAATGCCACTGAAAAGAAAGAAGGCGAAATTCAGTCAAGAGGAGGACCCCTATTTGCCGTTAGATACTGGGCTTTCTCTTGCAGAGGATGAAGAGCTTGTACTACATCTGCTCAACAGTCACAGCTAATTATTTTTCCGCAGGTTTTCTTTTCTGGGACATCTCCACAATTTTGTCAGTCGTCTACAGAAAATGAATTTGGCATCTGGGCAGCTGGGTACCAGTGGACGTAGATAAATGAGTTCCATGTGCAATGGGATTGCCTTAGATTGGCTCATAGATTATAGACAATATTTAGTTTGATTTACAAAGCTTTCTAAATGAACTTTCCAACCTAAATCCCAGATGTCATTTTGCAGTAACGTATTCATAATTTAAAATCTCCAAGTTCTGAAGCAATTATATTTTTTTATTTTAATCTTGCTTTAAGTAAAAACAGGATGCTCCTTTCTTGACTGTGTCAGATTTGTTATTTTAGAAGATAAATGTGTACTGAAGTTATTAAAGAAGAAATACTGTTGGCAGATCAAATCATATTACTTAAAAATAAAATGTATTTTTTCTTCTGTGTATCATGCACATATTTTACAAATATTTTAATAAATTTTCTGAAGCCTTGGTGTAAACTTTTAGTGTCTCTTTCAATTTTGTTTTGAAAGAACTTATTTATCCTCCAGTTATCATTTCTATTATGATTCTGTCACTGGTGTTAGGCAATTCAGCAAACCACTTTTAGATGCTAAAACTGAATCTTGCATTTGAATCCCATATGAATGAGAACACTGACGCCAAAAAAGGTAGATCATAACACTCTGATGCGTGATAAAATTGGTTACAGGGTAGATTTTGTGGCAGACTTACAACTGGAAGTGAACTACTTTTTTTGTTATGACCAAATATACTGAAGAAAAATAATCTATTATTGAACATATTTTCAAGTTTCATCCCATCAAATCATGGTGATTGTTGCAGATTTGCATTCTTGACTACCCCTTCAGGAGTATTGGCACATTGTTCAGAAAAAAGCATGATAAACCCTTGCAGGCAATATGAAGAATGATCACAGAATGGCTGAGGTTGGAAGGGACCTCTGAAGGTCATCTAGTCCAACCCCCCTGCTCAAGCAGGGACTCCTAGAGCACATGAACCAGGATTTTGTCCAGATGGTTTTTGAATATGTCCAGGGAGGGAGATTCCACAACCCCTCTGGCCAACCTGTTCCAGTGCTCAGTCACCCTCACACTGAAGTAGTTCTTCCTTATGTTCAGGTGGAACTTCCCATGCTGCAGTTCATGCCCATTGCCTCTTGTCCTATTGTTGGGTGCCAATGAGAAGAGTCTGGCCCCATCCTCTAGACGCTGTCCCTTTAGATATTTATAGATAGATAGATATATTTAGATATTTATAGACATTAATCAGATCTCTGAGTCGTCTTTTCTCCAGGATGAAAACTGCCAAAAGTTTACACATCTCCAAAATGAGTTAGACAAAGGAGAGCAGAAAAATCCAGTGTTTCGGTTGCTGACACAAGTTTTTTGGCAGCAAACAGGTTTGTAAAGTGATGATTGTCTGTTTTCAGCAGACCTGTGTCTTAATGAAGTTTACATGGCAAAATAGAGAGTAAAGCATAAATGCCTGAGGGATTTCCCCCTGTTGCTTCCCTTCAGTAAATCATAAAGTACACAAGAAGCTGTATCTGTTTGGTCTTCCCGTCAGCTATATGAAGGGCATATTGAAGTAAATACTCCTTTTTTTTTCAATATCACTTTTTCTTCTTTCTTTTTTTTTTTTTTTTTTGTTAACACAAATCTATCAGCTCCAATTCAGTACAAGCCTTTCTTCTTATCCCTGTACCCCATGCTATCTTTTAGCTCAGTTACCTCAAACTGAAAATATACTGCAAATTCTTGCCTCCAAATGTTGCTTCTGCTGTTCTGCCAGCAGGCAGGGTATCATAAAAACAGTATTACAGGCAGAGCACATCTGCCATCTGCTCCTTCCTGACAACGTGGAACGAAAAGAAATGACCCGAGTTTCGCAAACATCTAAACATGAAAGATGGGACCTGCTTGGCAGCCGATGCACAGTGTTGTTTAGTCTGCGGTGCCACAGTGGGCCTGGAAAATACCATGATCTGGGAATAGCATCACTGATGAATCTGTTAATGAAGAAGGATCCGCTGTGATGTTGTTGTGCCTGTGCCTGGGCTCCATCGTGTGAACGGCTGCAGTGAATGTGATGAGCCATGTCATGTCAACAAATGTCTCTGCATTGGAATAACAGAGGTCCTGCTCCTGCGGTCGTGGATGAAGGTACTAAACTTCAGCGCAAGGAGCACCAACAGCAGAAAGCTGTTCAGATGAGCTGGGTGTGGGTGATAACACGTATCATGGAGTATACATCTTATTCAGAGGTATTTGTAGATTCACAGTGTACTTTGTGGTGATCAGTTGTCTTGTACGTTCCCTGACATCTCTCAACTCAGATCTTTGCTCTAGAAGGTTGAACATAGTTTGCTGAGGCAAGTAAACGAAAAAACAAAGGCTGTACCATTTCTTACTGGAATATTCTCATTTTTGTGATGAGGTGTGAGAAAAGCATTCTTACCCAGCAAGCAGTAAGACTAAAAATTTAATTATTTATACTGGAAGGATTGTACTGCACTCCTATTCTCGTGATGCTTTCATTGTCTGCATCAAATAATTTTTCAAGTGCTCTTACTTTTGTATTTTGGGATAATGGAGTTTCTAATGTATCTGTGTTGTCTGATATATGGCCATTGTTTCTTGAATCCTTACAAAGTTTGCCCTTCTACTTCAAATGTGTCTGTCCTTGCAGGAATGGTGTGTATCTAGAGTGTGACTCCCACTAGGATGGAGCCTTGTGAAAAAGTAGGGGGAAGGGGCTTGAGGCAGATGCTCCATGCAATGAGTGTATCTAAGAACTGGGAACTGCTGTTTATGCTAGAAAGAACAAGACAAAAAAAAGGCAGCATTCAGCATTTTGAGGCAATGGCTGCGGTTCTGGGTTGTCATTCCCATCAGCTGTAGATCTGCTTTAAGAGGCTCCTCGCCAGCTGTGCTTTTAGTAGTGCTTCTGGAGTAAGAAAGCAAGAGCAAAGCACACAAAACAGATGCTAATCTCAGAAATGCAAGGATTGACTTGACTGAAGGGTGTTTTCCAGGAAGCTTGTTTGCTCTTCACACCCATGGACCTCTCAACCTGCTGCCAAAAGACCTGGCATGTGTGTCAAGGGCTAACGGGTAGGTGGAGTGGGGCCAGCTGGGGATGCCGCCCATCGTCTCCCTTTCTCCCGGTCCTGGGTACAACACGTGCTCCTGTAGTATCAGAACAAATCCCAAGCTTTTGCAGGTTTGTACTTCACATGTGTTGTAATCCCAGTTTTACACAGGAGAAATGGTAGTGTGGAAATCATTTGGCTCACCTGTAATCAAAGACTTCATTGATGACTTTATGTAGTTGAGTCCACAACAACTAAATCACTTGTGATTTAGGAAGAGCAGCCTCCAATTTGCCATCTGAACTGCCTTCTGTGCAGGACCCTAACCTTCAGGTGGTGTTGTGTCTGGTATTGCGAGCACCCTGGGGTGGGTTTTGGGCTTCTTCTTTACCCTGGAGGCTGCAGCCCTTTATGAGGAGGAGAGGGAAAGTCCCCTCTGGGGACTCCTTTAGGAGGAGTAGCAACGTCTGAGTATGGCAGTGAGTATTTTCCAAGGCCATTGCCCAGGAGACATCCTTAAATCTCCAAGCAGGAAATCTTGTTTTAAATAATGAACTTTCATATTAGGTTCAGTTTGTACTTTATATTAATAGTGGCTGATTTCCTTTGGCTGCTAGAATGGTTCCAGTGTGTTGATTTATAACTGGGTAGCATTAAGACTAAATCTAGTACATATAGCTAATTCTGGAGATCTACAATAGGCATTTATATAGTAGTATAGTTCAGAGGGCTTTTATTCAGAATCCAATTTTCTCTTTGTTGCATACGAAATAATAGAGATTTGTTTACTGGGTCATTTATCACAATTGGTTTGAAGCCTCTTTTGGATGGAAACTGGAAGTCAGGTAAATGTCATGATATAATCGAAGAGTTTGGGGTTTTTAGATTAGTTAAATAGACTGATGCTAAATGTGCTAGCTACTGAAGGTGTCCAGCTTGCAGTATTTTCATGAGGCATATAAAATGCGTCATTGCAAAGATACTGTTCTGCCTCAGCATCATAGAAATTTGTTAGGTGTTCACTTTGTAAAGACCTTGTTGATACAGCACATTAAATTGTGTGAAACGTATAAGAAATTCAGGCTCTAACATAAGTGATTGCAAATGAATATTTAACATTTTAAATGAGTATTTTTAAAAAATGTTATATGAAAAGAAATAAAAAATATTTTTTATTCTTCCTGCCACTGACTGAGTCCAGCTAGAGCATTGACTGCTGTGTCCTGCTGTCTGGACAGACTCATAAAGAGAGAGAAATGCCTGAAGCAAAACATTAAAAACCAGAGAGCTGTGGTAGAGAACATTCAATTCAGACTGTAAAAAACAGTCCAAGATCTGAAGGTACTGAAGTAACCCTGTGGGTTCCTATAATCCTGGATATATATGATAAAACTGATATAAAACACAAGAAGAAAATGTCTCTTAGTAAAGGTTGCAAATGAGTATTTTTCTTTATTGTGCTACTCTCTGGTTTGACCTGGTTCATGCTTATTTCTTGTGAGAGACTGAGTAGGGTGTGCCTTGTAGCAGGGGTGCTGAGCTATGGCAGGCTGCTGCTGCAGAAATGGCCACTGTGGTTCAAGATGTTGCTGCTTTGATGCTGGAGGTCACTGCTCTGGCCATAACCTTCCGCTGGCTGATAACCTGAGGTTTAAATTAGGCTGGTTGGTTCTGTGCTGAAACAGATGATTCCTTCCATCATCCATTTTGCTAACTGGGCAGAGGGCTGGTAACAGGCATTAGCGCTTTCCTGTGCAGCAGCTGCTTTTGCTGTTAATTTGATAGGGACCTTGAGCAGAGCGTAGCCAAACCTTGCACCCGGCATGCTTCAAGCTAGAAGATCCAGAACACATCTTAACTCCAAGAGAAATACAATTTCCAATCAATAGTTTTAGTAAGAAAAGACTATTACCTTTACTTTTGAACCATATTTCATTAGATTTCTTTGTTTTATTGCTGTCTCCTCTGGTGTTTGCAGCTCTTCTGAATTTAGTCCCATTGTTTCAGATTAATGTTTTATTCTCAGAAGAATCTGCAAGTTTTATCTTTAAAAGGTGGAACTAGATGCCAGAAAATTGCATTGTTGTCTTTGTAAATCATAAAAATTTCTATCAAGGCTTTAGTCTATACAATGTGAATAC